TTGTTTAATGATCTTGTGCTTCTTGACTGATATTTGATTTTTGATTTGGTGTTCATTCAGCCTTCTGTGAAAACAGTCATCTGCATTAAAAACAGATAATTTTGGAAAAATGTTAGACTGATCATGTTGGTATCTCGGTGTTAAAAGTAAAGAAATAACTCTCAAGCAGTGTGGAAGTTTTTAAGAAGTAATATTTGATATTTTGTTTGTACTTGCTGGAACAGTTCTTGGGTGCTTGCTTTCCATTGCATGGCTGAACATGCGGTTAACTTCAGTGCTGTGTGCATACCCTCAGACTCACATATTTTGTTTAATAGACCAGGTCTGTCCATGTGATATGATGTTTCTTTGAAGTGGTGCTCATCTAACAAGTCTAATTATTTCTAGTATCACTTTGAAACTGTCTTTGTGTTTATTTGAACATTTGTGTTCTCTGCTACTGATCTAAGGTACAAACACAGCAGCTTACAAGTCCCTGAGAGAGCAGGAGTGGTATGACCTGTCACTGGATGCCTTGTTTAATCATACCAGTTTTTAATATGCAGTCTTTGATCACTTTCAGGATTCGTTTAACATTTTTGTAGAAAAGTAATTCTGATTCAACAGATTTCAACAGAATCTCTTAATTCTAATTCCATGATCAAGTTGAAATTCTTATTTGTCTGGAAATTGTTTACTTTCTTTAGCATAGTTAAGAAATTATAGCTCTTGAATTAAAAAAACAAACAAACAAAAAAACCCTCAAATCCTGTCTTTTTAATGATATTTCTATTTGTATGTGTAACATTTCAAGTGATCTCAATAAAGGTGTGTTTTTATTTTCCCCTGTTTTCACGGGATCATAGACAATAGACATGGAAAGGATCTTGAGAGGTCCTCTTCCAAAACAGTCATCTGTCTAAACCACTCCTGACAGATATTTGTCTAATCTACTCTTAACTTCCGAGGATGAAGATTACCTCCCTAAGCATTTTATCCTCATTGTGTATGACCACCCCCTACTATAGAAGGATATTCTGATGTCTAACCTAAATCTCCTTAGCTGTGATTTATAGCCAATATTTAACTGCAAGTAGACAGAAGACAGTTTACTCCATTTTCCTTGGGGTGTTATTTGAAGACTGTTTTCTGTCTGCTCTCATCTGCCCGTAGGAAAATGACCTGATGGACTTGATTGCACAGTGGATTTTTGAGCACTTTGCAGGCTTCTTCAGTTGCACATGTAGGTAGACCTGTCCCTGGCCCTAGGGTGGCCTACTGTCTTGAACCTATGAGTATTTCCACAGATTTTTAGTGATGAACATACAGACATCTGTGCTTAGTGTGGTATAATATTACTCAGTGAAGAGATGAGGATGAAGAAAACATTGTGACAAAGGAATTGGCAGAATATCGTGCAGAAGAAGCACCTGAGGAAACAGAACTAAAAAGTCTCATGGGGGATTTAGATGTAAAAAAATAATAATAAACAAATAAAAAGCAATAAAGCTAGTAGCAGTGGAAGTATTCTCAGAGCTGTAGAGAAGCTTGCAACCTAGAAAGATGAGATAAAGCTAATGGAGAAAATTGGCTGGCAGACCTTAGGATGTTGTGTTTGGGAATGACAGCCTATTTCTGATACAAAGTGCCATTGGTGAGCTTTACAAAAACAAAAAAAGAGAGAAGTGAGAATGATGAGAACATGGATGCTTGGGTCAGCAAGACATGGGATAGAGCAGCCATGGTGGACTGCACAGAGCAGAAGTAAAGTAGTAGAGATGAGAGAAAGGATGTCCTTGGAGAAACAGGCATGCCACAGAGAAAACAACATGGTGGTTATGGCAAACCTGGAGAAAGATTCTGCCTCAGCACACCCAAAAGACACTCTTGTTTGAGCACGAAAATGAAAGGGAAGCACAAGAACTCAAATACTGAATGTATATAAAAAGCAGCCTGGAGATAAACAAAAATCTGAGTAGTGATAATAAATGTTCTGAATTCTGAAGACCTCTGCCATCAGTAAAGAAGATCTTTATAAATGAATTTGAATAAATCATGTGTGAATAGCATAATTAGAGACAAATTAGATGATCAGTAGGATTTTGAGTAGCCTGCAGAATGTGGAGAGAGAAAGCATGAGGTCCAGCAAGAAGGCAATTGCAGTAGTCCAAGCATGAAATCATCAAAGAATGAATGCTTTCCTTAAAGGATCTGCTGAGATTACAGCCTGAGATAGTATCTGTGGCCCTGAATTAGGTAAAGCTATAAAAACTCAGATTCCTTGAATCAAGATATTTCTTCTGTCTCAGATGTCCTTGCTAGTTGACTCTTTACTGAATGTAAGTTCTGTCTAGCAATATTTGTCGATATCCCATCTTTGTGTTCTCGTCATCTGTTGAGCAGTGTGTATCACGTCAGTGAGAGTGACATGACAATTTAGCTTTGTTTTAGCTAGATTTTTGGCAGTCTGTGTCATTCAGGAATTTTAAAACTATCATGCATGAAATTTGCAGTTTTCCTTACTTTGTCTATTAGTTTTCCCAGAAGATTATATCACTACTGTAGTCAGAAAGTGTTATGCAGGATTCTTGCAAGGTAGTATAACTGAAGGACTGTTTTGCTTTTTAAAGAGAAATCACTGCAAAAGAAAAAGCAGTGAGGCTGAGCTAGAAATCTGAAAGAGTAAATTCTGAACAGAAGGAACAAAGTTCAAAGAAGTGGGAAGGCAACTTGCCTTGCTAAACCCAGGATCCATTAAGTTCTTGCGTCAGAAAAAAATGGCATCAAACAGTTTGAGTGTACAAACCTCTTTTCTTGGTAACAGTCACTACCAAGAGCAAAGTAAGCCATCATTTGCTGCCGTAAACTTCTCCGTTCCAATCGCTCTTTCTTTCACCTGAACCCTCCAGTCCGCCCAAAATGAATCTTCCTGTCCTTTTGTACCACATGTTTTAGTTCTCTGTGTGGTGCTTTTTCTGACTCAGCATCTCCCACCCCACCTTGAGACATGACAACTGCAACTGTGCCACCACCACAGGCCACCCCACCAGAGCTTGGGGCAAGGAAAACGCCTTACTGGAGTTTTGCATTTGTTTATGGCACTGTATGAATGTTTTATTATAAGAATGTAGATGATAATTTTGCTGAAAGCTCCTGGCATCACAGGAGAGTAAGGGTTTTCTGGAGGTTTTCACATGAAAAAAAAGAAGTTTCTTTACTCCAGGCTTCGTTCACTGCTTCACTTCCATCCTTACTGAATGGATAATCATGGGAGCTTTTCTCACACTGCAAAAGAGAAGGTGAATTCAGTATTAGATGTGGTGTAATGTGGGCTACCCAGCCATATATTTAAGGCAGGATGAAGTGTTCTGTACATGTAGGAGGTTCTTTTAAAGAACCTGTCGGGATCAGTTGCTGTGTTTTGCTGGCATTTCTGTGGCAGAACAGTTACTATTTCATACTCAGATGGAAAGAATTGAAGTTCTGCCTGACTCTCTGCTTCTGAGTAATTTTTGAGTACAAGAGAAAAGAAATCTATTAACGGGATGCTAAACAAAAATCTACTTTAGTACACAGTTCAACAAGAAAGTCTTTGAAAACAACATTGAGCTGTCATTGATAGGAAGCTCATTTAGGTTCCTTTCTGTTGAGATGTGTCAGGAATGTATAAATACTTTAAATTTAACTAAATGAATAGTTATTTAAAACCCATCTTTTATTCATATTAGAAATCTTTCCATTGTATTATTTAATTTCTATTCATGTCTTTTTTTTAAGTGCCTCAATTGAATCATGCATGTTGCCTAAAGCGTGACTGCTATGCTTTGCCAAGTATTCACTGTTTCTCAGTGTTACTCACATTTTCTTCAGTCTTAACTGGATTCTTGCAGAATTTGTTTTATTTCTCTCTTAGAGTTCTACAAAGTTGTTTTCTTGATACATATTTTTGAAGCCAATTTTCCCCAGCTCATATCCTCTTGACATTATGGTGGCTTTATTTCATATTCACTCCATTGCCTTAGTTATTTTTTCAGTAATAAGGTGACCAGAGCTCTATACAGTTTCTCAATTAAGTACCAAGGTCATAAAGAGTTTACAAGCTTTCAGTCTCCGTGACTAGATGTCATTTCATACGTAGCCCCAACATCTGCCTTTATGCTGCCATATCCTGTTGCAAACTCAAGTCCTTTTTTTTTTTTTCCTGTTTGCTAAGCTTAGTTCAGTGTTGCGAGTTCCTGATTTATTTCTTCTGTTTAATATTAGTGTTAAATTATTTTCCCCAGCTGTGCATTTTTTGTCTGAGAAGTTTGGAGTGAAGAAGCTGGGAAAACTGAAAGAAAGCTGTTGCAGTATCCACGCCTGAAATTCTTGAGAAATTAATGCAAAATGTTGACTCTCATGTTATTATTGTTGAATATTGAAGTGGATCTGTCTACACAGATAGAAAAATTAGTGTTATGTACTTTAATATACATGAGCTGTTTGCATGATATGTACTGCTTCCTATGTGTAACTGCTATAAATTATATCTGATCCTCTTTGTGCTATATTATGCTTTACTGTGGACGAAATAGTTCTTAATTCTTTAGGTACCTGGGGATTATTTTTTTCGATTATCTTTGTTCATGTTGTTTCAGTCTTCTGTTGACTCTCATCTGGATCTTGGAAAATAATTTACTTTTTTTTTTCCCCCTTTCCATTTTTCCTTCTTTTCAGGAAGTCATTTCCCATGAAAGCCAAAATCACAGCTTTTGCACATTCATGATTTTTGGTCTTCACTAAGCTGGTTTACACTCTGACAACCTGTAGCCAGAAGGCACTGACTGACCACTTTGGAGTTGGGGGGATACAGCGTGGTGGTTAGTCTTACGTTGAGACATTACTGTCACTGAACTTTCAGATGCATTTCTCTCCTCCTTCCCTCCCCTGCCCCCCATGTTCAGCATTCCTGGCCAACTTATTGTTTGTAAAATAGAAATGGTGAGAAAATGAGTCATTTTGTAACTTATTTTTTTCTACAGGATTTACAGATAATCAGTACAGATGAAAACCAGGTGTTTGTGGCTGTTCAGGAGTGGTACCAGACAGACACGTACAACCTGTACCAGTCTGACCCGCAAGGTGTTTACTACTCTATCCTGCTGGAGAACGTCCGGAGCACAAAGCAGCCAGAAGAAAATGTCCTGATAGATATTCTGGAGGTAGGTCTTTATCTCTTCCCATCTGTGTAGTCTGGGTGGAGTTTTATTTTGTTTTTATTTTGATTGAGTGTAATTAATTTTACATTAATGTATTTTCATAGTTATCTTTAATGTAAAAAGACTAGCATTTCTCTCTTATTCATAGTGCATTGTTAATACATACATGTTTCCCTCTTGCCCTGCTAATGTGTTGTACGCTCGAAGAACTAGATTCTTGGTATGGGGTTCCATGGATGTGCAAAACCAGAATTGGCTGAGGTTGTGGGTTGTTGGTTGGTTTTTCTTTAGGGTATTGAAAAGTGAAGCTGGCAGCACAATTTATTATTGAAGTAAGAAGTTATGCAGCTGACTACGTACAGGTTTCTTTCTTCTATGTGACTCCATGATACGCTTCCTGACTTAGAGCAGGACGTCTTTTAGCTAGTAGGGTTTTAAATAGTAATCCTGTGAGCCTTGTGCTAGGTTGTGTCAGCTCAGACAAGTGAAGAACCAACAAAACTAGATATTGGATAGCAAATCCATTTGCTTTCAGTAGGTGTCTTGCGCCAACAGCATTTGCTATGAGACAAACTCATCTATAAACAAAACTATCTTGGATTTTAACATCAGCGCACTTAGCAAAAGAAAAGACTGAAGATTATAGCGTTTTGGAAGAACTAGGATCACGCAGCCATTCACTCACTCCCCCTGAATCCCTCAGTAGGACAGGGAGAAAAGGAAAAAAAAGGAAGGAAGAAAGAAAAAATACAAACAAAAAACAAACCTCATGGGTTGAGATAATGATAGTTTAATAGAGCAGTGATGGAGGAGAAAATAATAATAATAATGGTAAAAGAATATACAAAAAAAGTGATGTAATACAATTGCTGACCACCCGATGATCGATTGCCCAGCACGTCCCAAGCAGCGATTGCGTATTCCTGCCCCCGGCCAACCTCCATTTATATGCGAAGCATGACGTCTATGGTATAGATTATTCCTTTGCCAAGCTTGTCCTGTCTATGCTTCCTCTCAACTTCTGTGGGAAGCTGAAAAAATCCTTGACTTAATATAAGCATTACTTAGCAACAACCAAAACAATATATGTTATTGACATGATTCTTGTACTAAATCCAAAATACGGTTGCTACTAGAAAGAAAATTGTCTCTATCCCAGCTTGAACTAGGACATGTGTACATTTGTTCTGGTTCTATTCCTTCCTGTAGCATGTAGCACTGGGTATTAAATGAATGGACCTTTGGTCTGACACAGTTTGGCCACTGTTACTCTCTGCCTGGTGTTAGTTAAAACAAAATCTTTATAAATGCACTAGACTTATCTGGAAAAGATTTGTAGTAATTCAGGGTACAAGACATACACTTACAGAGCTGTTAAATGGCAGTAATTAGACTCTTCTTGGTGGGGGAAAATGATAGTAGTTTTTTTCCCCCTTATCTGCTACATCTTTGTTTAGCTTTTCCTTTCCAAATGGCTGTAGTAAAACAAAAAGGTGTGTCATTACCAATGATTATTTTCTAGACTCTACCTTTTTAGAAATGAGGCTTCTTAATGAGTGAAGCTACACATTGTGTGTAGCCACATTCCCACAGGGTGATTTATTGAGAGCATTGGTTTCCAGCTCTCTGCCCCTGGTCGCTCCTGAGGGATGCAAAGCTAAAGGGAAGTTGAGTGCCATCTCTTCTCCTGGTGTCACCTGTAGCATGTAATTTCAGATAAGTTGTACAAAGATGCCACCCCTGGCTGTCCTTTCATCTGCAAGAGTTATTTACTTTATTCGGTTTCACTGGTGATTTCAGAATTTCACAACGTTACCGAGGGCATCTTTGATAATGCGCAAGAGAGAGGGATCCTAGATTATTGTGGGTGCTGGATTAATTTTTAGGGTTGCATTAAAAAGAAAAAGTGTACATGATAAAACGTAATTGAAAAACAATACACATGGAGCCATACAATTCAATTTTTTAGAGCTATTTTTTGAATAGAGTTGCATTATAGAATACTTTTATTTGCTTACAATAAGAAAGCCTACACCTTCCAAATAGCTTGTACAATAAATAATTAGTGTTCATCTTTACTAGAATGTGACCAAGTATTTACATCTACAAGTAACGTCTGGATTATTTATGTGGTACTAAATAGCTACTAAATAAAACATGTATTGCAGTCCTAGAGGTGGGATTTTTTTGGTCTGGTCTGGGTTTTCTCTCCAGGCATTTTAATGCAAGTATCCCATCTTGGGAAGAGGAATCTTCGGTACAACACAGAGACAGTCCTCAATCATTGACAATTTCTCTTTCCACCAGTGCCTAATTCTCTTTAAAATTTGGACTGTTTATCTTTGTTATCTTCTGCTTACCTGACTTCATCTTTTATTTGTATATCTGCTATAAAATCTTATAGGTTTCTACCTGTCTGCATTCATTTTCTGTTATATGCTTTATCTATTTTTTTGTACTGTTTCTTCTCATGTTGTGTGTGAGAAAGGGGAATAATTCCCTTCAAAGAAGAAAAGAAAAAGGAAGGAACATGCCCTTGAAATTTGTGACTGCAAAAAAGGAGCATGTCCTTGAAATTTTATCAAGTGCTGCCAATGTGAACCAGTCACAAATTTGACGTAGGCATATTTGCAAAATGGGCATACTAATGTAATACTTCTACATTGGATCTTGTTAGGACTCCTCATATGGGTAAGAGCTACACAAGTTGCAGTACACATTCTTCATCCTTTTTTCCCCCAAACAACAAATTGTATCTATTAAACTTTTAATCACAAACTTCTTTATATAGCTGTATTTTTCGTATTTCAGTAAGGGCTGCTAGTAAACACTGTGGGGCCATCTGAGTGGTGCTTCTTGCTACCAAGTGGTATAGAATATTGTTTGGCTGTAAAATCAGTAATGTAATAGTGCAGAAATTAATGTGTCACAGAATGCATAGTCATAGCAGAAAACCTGTTTAGAAAAGAGGTTTATAAGGTACAAAGTGCTTTTCTAAGAGTACTGGGGAACCAGTAACCCTTGAACTGTTCTGGCAAATAGACACTCCAAGAACTAATCCAAAAGTCCAAAGAAAAACAAAGGAAAGGTACTTTTGAATTTCCTTGTGTTTGTCTGTCTTGGGTAGCTACTGGACTGCTCATCAAAGTAACTGAACACTCAACAGTGTTGAAATATCTTGTTTTCCATAGCACCTTATATTAACATGAGTCTTTTTCCTCCTCGGTAGAGAGATGCTAATCTCCCAATTTTAGATTAGGGAACTGAGTCAAGGAGTAGAAAGTACTGAAGAATTGGAGTGCCTCGGCATCGCAGTTGAATCCAGAAGGTAGATTTGACATACAGCATTTACAGAAAGAATCAGGTGTGTACTTACATAGGTCAGAGGACAAATAAAATAGAAAATGCTGTAGAGGGTATGGGCTGTTTCAAAGCTGCCATTTTTTACACACTATGGTTTTGTATTAGTTATTAGTTTTTAGGCTGATGCATCACTCCAAACATCATGCTTCTGAACTTGCTCTGAAGATAGATGCCTGAAACTTATTTATTATTTCAGGCAGGGTTTGTGCCTTTCATTCACCATAGAACTGCTGAAGTGCCAATCAGATTTTTTTCTGTTTTTAGAGCAGCAGTGAGAGAAGTTAACTGAGACACTGGAAGAAATTTTTTCATAACTTTTCTGTCTGATAGATTCAAACACTTATGTCCCATATTCTAGAGAGGAGAGGTTACTCTAGCACTTGGTTAGGTTAGAGATGGGAGTAGGAATGCAGAAGAATTTTAGCCTGACTCCTGTTGAATGATTATATGGAATGAGTAAATATTCATTAAACAAGAATGAGAGAAAAAGAGACAGAGACAGGAAACAAAAATGGCGATTCCACCACTTCCCTGGGCAGCCGTTTCCAACGTTTGACAACACTTTCAGTGAAGAATTTTTTCCTAATATCCATCCGAAGCCTCCCCTGGCATAACTTGAGGCTGTTTACTCTTTTCACTTGTTATTTGGGAGAACAGATCCATCCCCACATCGCTACAACCTCCTTTCAGGTAGTTGTAGAGAGCGATGAGGTCTCCCCTCAGCCTCCCATATGAGTTAAAACACATTTTCAGGAATTTTTAAAAAATTAAAAAAGCCTTATAAACAATTGCAAGGGAAACAAGAACACTCTTAAAGAAACTTTCAAATGCAATACAAGATCTTATCTCATGCAATTGGGTAGAATATTAACACATAACATAAATGTTAGGGCTAGAAGTAAACATATTAAGGTGCTATTGCTGTCAGGTTGATTCTAAAAATTATCCTCATTAACTTTGACGCTCTGAGTTGTAATAATTTTCAAATACAGATGGTTTTGAAATAAAGTAACTAAGTTTGCCCAAGAGAACAGGGAGCCCGTAAGCTTTTTCTTTTCCTTTTTTTTCCCCAGAGGTTAAACGGGTGAAGGGAGGCTGAATGTGTGGAGTTAGGCTGAGGGTGGGAGCATTTAAGATGCTTGAGAGGTTGATTCAGCCTTCACTGTTTCTTCCCCGGATTATCTGTCTGCATTTATTTCCTACAAAAGACAATTTTGCTTCCTAATTCAGTGTTATTTTAAAGGATATTATATTGTATTTTCTTATTGTAACCTATTTGTGTACTATTTACGTGATATGGGTCACATGACTTTAGTGTAAAAGTCAGGTTGCTGTTATAAATTGCTTCCATAATTTGTGGAACAACATATTAGAGATGTCCATATTTTAAAAAGTTTCAGAGCTGTAAGTTTAACAGTAGTGTACAGTGTACATGCTATTGTAACTTTTGTATTTTGCTGTATAAACTATATGTAATTTGGTTAGCCTTCTGACATTAAGGTAACTCTATATCCGTTTAAAATACATTTAGAAATACGAGTCAGTTAATAATTATCCTTCCCTTCCCCCATTCATGCTTTCCTCTTTTCCTTTTGCCTTCCCTTTTTCTTTTTTTTAAGGTATCGTTCACTTTCCTAGTTGAGAAACTATCTGAGGTACACAGTTCAGAGCCACAGAAGAGCAGCTAATCAGGGATAATCTTTGTTGAAAAAAAAATGTGTGTGTGCTGGTCATTAACCCTCTTTCTTGTATGCTTCAGGTCAGAGGTGTAAAAGGAGTCTTTCTGGCCAACCAGAAAATTGATGGGAAAGTTACAACTCTGATAACCTACAACAAAGGCCGTGACTGGGATTTTCTAAACCCTCCAGACATTGATATGAATGGCAAACCGACAAACTGCAAACCTGTAAGTGGTTCTTTTTAGCCCATCCTTTCTCTAAAGTGCACAAGAATTGTTTGTGTGGCAGGATGTGCAGTAGTTCCGACAGCCCAAGGGCTTTGCTCCAAGTTTATCAGCCAAGCTAGTAGGCAAATCTACTTGCGTTACATAGCAATGGTTTCACAAGCTGTTAGTTAGTCCGGTCATCTTGTAGTGTGAGTGGTCACGGCCCTGTCTGTACCACTGCATTTCTTAATGTAGACCTTACTTTGACACAAAGAGGATGTTTTTTCTTGTGTGTCAACCACACAACTGAGTTCACAAGTCATGACAAGAGTCATTTGTCTCTGGATATAACGGGAACATATTTGGTCAAACAGAGCTTACCAAATACCGTTTCTCTTTCCATCGTTCATATTTTTGTTTCATCTTAAACCAAGGTAACCCTTGGTTCCCTGTTAAAGGGAACTCTTGACAGTTGCTTGAAAATAAACACCACAGTGAACTGCCTGAAAAAGGCCTTTCTTTTTGTAAGATAATGCTGTTTCAGTTTGTTTAGATGTCCCAGCTACCCATAATATTTTGTTATTTTTGTTTCTGTACTGAAAACCTTGTATTTTTCTTACTGACTCTGCTCCTGAGGACTTCAGGCTCTGAATTGCTGGGCAAAATAAATGCTTCTAGTCGTGCTGCTGCCAGAGCTCTCCACATAGGACAACTGGAAGGCTGGAGCTTCTGGCTTACTTTTGAAGGGTTGAAGATCATGCTATGTGGTTCAAGCCTGCAGGGCCTGATCCGGAGGTCTCCAAGATGAGTGTAGGGATGGCAGTGGCAGCAGCTCCCAGGCAGTGCTGGCAGCCCGCTCCTGGTAAAGCTCATGGTCAGGCTGCTGTGAGCAATATGACCTCTGAGTACCACTGCACAAAGAGCAAGAAGCAGAAAGTTGCTTAGCAAGGAGCAGTGATAGATGTGTCCAAAAGTCATTATGCTATTTTTCATAGCACTTTTTTTCTAAAAAAGAAATTTTGGTACAAACAGTTGGTTTTAGTCATCATTTTACCAGTCACTTGGGACCAAAACTTGTTGCTGTTAGTTATAATTTTTAAGCAATTATTCTGTCACAAGGGGTTTTTGTACAATAATTTCATCCTGACTTTTTTGAGTTCGGAAATCTTTTTGCTGAGGCAGTGGGAGACTACACAGACATCACCAGAGATTCTTGTTAGCTAACTAATATTAACTGGATTTTCAGACTGGACTTTGGTTCCATGGAAAACAGCCATTTTCTTTCTCTACAAAGACATACATCGCTGAAGCTGCTCTCTCACTGCGCTTTCATTATTGTAGGAGCGTAACTGTTACCACTTGTGTTTTGTTTTTTTAAAACCTGTTGTCTTCTTTCCCCACAAGCCTGATTGCTACCTTCACCTCCATCTCCGCTGGGCAGACAATCCCTATGTGTCAGGAACAGTCCATACGAAGGACACTGCACCGGGGCTCATAATGGGGGCAGGTAAATGCGTAACATTATTTTTTGAGACCTGAAATGTGGCAGCAGTTCTTTGTAGGTCTAGTCTTTTGGTTTATAAATATACCATGCTAGAAACGTTGCCAATATGAGGCTTTCCCTGCAGAATAACGCTTTATTGGGATCTCTTGATCAAACAGTTTAATAAAAGTTAATTGAACTCCCAGACCTGTGTCTTCTAAGACAGATATATAACTGGATACATTATACTTCTCTGTGCTGTGTCATATCTCCTTCCCTGTTAGTGCGGTATGGAGGAGTGACGGTGGCTGAAGGACTTGTCCTGCATTCTTTTTCTCTAGAAGTGGGGTGTAGGGCCTCCAGTGTCATGAATAGCCCAGCAAATCCAATAAACTGATGTAGACAGTGGCCAAGCTTTTGTTCTTTATGCTTAGATACAGATAATTTGTCTTGTCATTTTTATTAATTCACTTTTTGCCTGAAGAGAGATGAAGTGAAAGAGGCAAATGTGTCTCTGTGATGGGAACAACGCTGGTTGTGGCTTGTCCATTATAACATGCATATGGAGCCATGGTACTGTGAAGTGGCATTTAACAAAAGAATTTCCGTTTCAGTGGTGACTGCTCATCAAGAAAAGTATTCACATAACTCTGTTGTACTTTATATCCTTGTGATTCATCTATTCATTTCATTTAATTTTCTGTTCCTTTGTTTCAAAATTATTGAAATGTTAACTGTTCTAAGAGTTTTTTTAAATTCCATGATTTTATTTTTGTTAGGTGTTATGTTTAGGTGAAATGCACGTACATACTGCTTCTCTTTTCCTAAAAGTATATCTGATTTTAATCAATAATGTTTTCTGCCTTAGCTTACACTAGTCTCTTATAAATGGCTTACTAAATCGAAAACTTCCTAAGAATATAAAGGTGAGCATATTTGGTGTTGAAAGAGAATGACAGCTGCCACTACTTCAATATGACTGAAGATTCCAAGTTTTCCCATAGTATAAATGGAGTTTAAAGTATTTTACTGGAGGCAGACTTACCTGGTGAAACGCTGCAATGTTTTTATTGACACGAATGAGACTAAAATTTATACAGTGCCTGTGTAGATACATTTCTATTAGGTGTTTAATTCACATTTTATGAATTCCTGTATTTCGAAAAAACAACTGCAGTCTCGGAGATCTCCTGAGGTACTCCTATTCTAATGTATGTTCTTAATTTTAGCCTCACCATATATATGAATGCTTGAATGCTCTCTAGTAGCAAATTAAACAATGAGGTTTAATTAATTAGTCTGTTACTTCTATTTCATTTTTCTCTGTTCTTGCTTTATAATCTGATGTGGTGAACTGATATTCTTTGAGATATGGGGTTGTTCGCATTTGGTTGAGTTTTGTGGCGTGTAAGTGCGCTCTTCTCCAAGATGATATTAGGGATGGCGGGTCAGAGAAGAGTATTTTGCCCTTAATTCCTTCCTAGAATGGGGCCAGATTTAATCACTGTAACATTGTCTTACTGTAGCAGTAGGTAAATTTGTCAACAACTTTACTCAACGTGAATATGAGGGAGACTTTTTGATGACATCCAGATGTCATTAAGAACTGGAGTGATGCTAAATTTGACTTGATTGTGGAGCAACTTAAGATGTAATGGAAATAGTAGAGAGGCACCATCACTCATAGCAGCTGGATACAATGCTAGGAGGGATGGTGTGAAAGTGAGAAAAATTTGCCCAAGAGTAGTGCAGTACATCCTTTCTCTGGTAGAAGGTCATGTAGTTGCAAATGGACTGATTTTGACTTGCATTTTACATTATTTGGATGCTCAGGTCATCTAGATTCAGGGCACATGTTCATTCTTACCTGGCAAATTTGATATCAGTGTAAACTTAAGCTTCTTATCAGAAATACTTTACAAACAATGAGTTTGAATTTCTTCTGGCCTGATCCTTGAAATTGATAATCCTATGCAAATCAGCAGAAGTACTAGGTTCTTGGTACATAGAGGAATCGGATTTATTTGGGCCACATCACACACTATTGGAATTATACCGTGAGATTTAGGGAGAGCTCATCTTCTGGAAATGACCGAAGATGATAAAGATCTGTGAATGTCAGTTGGTCACAGTGTGTCTGTGAACCATCAGTGCCTTGTGCTGTGAAAAAGGGAAATGTGTTCTGGTGGTGATGTAGGTAAACAGTTGCCAGTGGAGAGAGAGAAATATTAATACTCTAGCAAAATACAGTACAGTGACTTATTAATAAGAATGTGTACAGTTCTGATCATCACTTTTCAGGGCCAATGAGCAGTGCTAAGAAGGGATTACTTGGCAGTTGATAGAAATAAAGAATATTTACAAGAGGAACCTCGTTAGCTGAGAAAAATAAAGGACAACAAAGAACATTACTTTTTTCCTGAAAAAGTAACCATGGGGGAGAAACAAGCAATGTAAACAAGTAGATAAGAACTAGAAATTAGAAAACAATTTTTGACCATAAAAGCCATGAAGTTGTTCCTGTCAATAAGAGCAGTGTTGCTATCAGACAAAAAGGCAAACAATCAAAAAAAAAATCCCTTTAACGTGGAGTTTGGCCACTTCATAGAAAGCTTATACAACACATCTGCTTGTGGTAATGGAAAACCTAACCTGTGACTTAAGGATAGTTTTGATACTGTGCTTGAAAATCAGAGCACAGAGACTACTGAATATTGTTTTCATTTCAAAAATAATTCAATGCTGAACAGCATTAATGCCTAGAGTGTTTGGGAAAAAGGCAGTAATAGGATTTTTAAATTGTATCTTTTTAAACTCATATTTACCAAAAAAATCCACTCTATTAAAGTTGCATAAATAGTTCTGAGGAATGCATATTTTTAGCTTATATATATACATATATATATAAAAATTGTGCAGACAGAATATTAAATTTTATAGCTGCATATTAAAGTGTTCTTTTAAATAACTGCCTTGCTCCCTTTAAGAAATGTAATAGGATTTTGCATTTACATTTGATTTTTGTGCATTTTAATCTTGGCAACAGCTTCTATTTCTCACAGCATCAGCTATGAAATGTGTGTCAATTGATGTGTAAATTTTTATTATAAACTTGTGAAGGACTTTCCTATGAAAAATGTTTAGAGAAGTGTAGATTTTTCAGGTGCTAGTTCACAACAATTGTCTGCTTAGCTTCCAATCCAGATGGCAAATCAAGCAAGCAGTAAATTCTGCACATTAACACGAATTGAGGAAGTGCTGGAAAGTTCAGTTTACTTTTTGTCATGCGGTGCCCAAATACATTGCATACATTGGGATAAATTTCTATCAGTTTTCACAAAAGTAGCATACCAGGATGCCACTGTAAAAAGGATGAGGGAACAGGGAGATGATTGAGCATTTCCCAGTGCATTTTGGAGTGAAGCTGCTGCAATTCACTCGGATTTTTCTCATGTCAACATGTTCCCCCATTCTGATGGTGTGAATCGCTCCCTGAGCTAAACACATCTTCAGCTGGGCAGGCAAAAACTGTCTATCTGGGACATTTAAACACAAATTGGTTGTATGTTTGTTCTACACTGTGACTACAAGTTTACAAACCATGAAATTTTAGCTTAATGTGCATTGACTGAAGGGATGTCACAACAGTATTAATTAGCAGTTATCTAGGCAAGGTGCATCTCTCTTTTTGGAGCAGGTTTCTGCCTGTATGCTAAATTTAAGTGGCTGGAAAAGATCCTCCATATTAGAAAAATTACCTAAGTATTGCATGTGGGGATTATTTCTTCTCACAGTAAGCATGTCTAAAATCACTTATAAAAACATGGGTAAATGCAGTGATAAGCAGCGCTTAAAACACGTAAATAGTAAATTGTAAATGAAAGTAATCTCCCATATTTGTGTGATCTGGTAGGAACATGCCAAAATGCCTGAGCAAAGACAAACTTTTAATTACTCCTTTGAGATCTGTATGTGTTTTTCACAGCTATACCATTTTTCCAGAGAGCTTGGCTGGCCACTGGTCATCACTGAAATAATCGGTTTCTTTCATGTCCCTGTGCTACCAACTGGTGAAATGGCATGTGCAAAGTTATGAATAGCTTGGAGAAATGTGTTGAAGGGTAGTTAGTACACCTGTATTCTAGTTTTTGGGACTGCCACCCATGGAACATGTGATTTTACCCAGTAACTTTAAAATTAACCTTTACTCAGGACAAGTAAAAAAGCAAAAGAGGATTTCCTGTATCGCAAAACACAATTTGAAAAGGTTTATAAGAATGCAAGTCATAGAAATGAGAGATAAATGTGCTTAATCAAAAAGTCCAAAATGCAGACCAAAATGTTGCCTTTTGTTTCCTAAATTGAAGAAACAAGGTGTCAGAACATAACAACAGCGGAGTCGTACTGACTTAGGACAACAGTCCATCTAGCACAGTGTCCTGGCTCTGTTGGTGACGAAAGCCTTTGGGGAAGTGTTTAAGAAGAATTCAGGTGCATACGGGCCCTCAGGGCATGTTTTGGGAGAAGGTACATGCATGGGACTGTTTCTGATAAGGGCTATGGTCAAGAACTCACAAAAAAATACATCTTCTGGCTATGGCTGCACCACCTGGGGCGAGCAGGGGCTGACTGCTCTGTGGTGTGAACATGGTCGTGTCATGCCAATTGGCCTCAGGGCTGCAGGACAGTTGCTGGCCTTCCCTTATTTCATGTATGCGTGGTGTTTGTAGTAATGCCATCCCTTTATTAGGGACAAGGCACAAACCTCTAAAGATGCCTTTAAGGACAATATATTTAAAATCAGATGAGAAATGGAGAAAGCAAAGTTGGGGCAAACATTCACAATAATTTGAAGAGCTGTCTTTCCTGTTCCTGTTATTTAGCTACAAAAAGAATATAAAATAAGACAAACTTGAGAAGCTTCTATTTTACAGACAGAACTTCTTGAAACTAGATGGCAAAACAGTCTGTGTCAGAAGAGTTTTCAGGCCATTTAGATCAAAAAGTGATGTTAAAATTATACCACTTATAGCTCTGGCTAAAATAGCCTGCAGTTGATTACCCATTCCAGATGCAGTAAATTTTTCAGTATGAACCTGAATTGCCTTCAGTGTATTATATTACCTTTACTAGTTACCACAGATGGATTTTGAGATCTAACACAGACCCACTAAAATGATAGAAGAGTTTCCGTGTTGTAGCGGCACACCTGAGGAGTTACTGCAGACATTTACAGGAGCACAGATTTTGGTGAGATTCAGCAGGCAAACAGCACTCTGACGTTTGTGGGTGTGTGGTACAGTCTAAACATTTCAGAATGTGGTGGGAATGGTACTTGCAAACTGTAAGTATTGGCTTCTAGCCTTGGGGCTGAGCATAATTTGGCAGTTTCTCACCTTCTGTATCACTTGATTGTGATGGCGGTTGTGCACATTATTGGCTGCCATGCTTACCGCAAATAAAGTTCGTAATTCCACTCGGATACGGCATGGAAACTTTCAGGGTTTCAATTGTACTTTCTGAGTGCTCCTGTGACTTTGTAGTCATTTTTTTGTAATGTTATTAATGTCAGGATTTTTTGCATTTCATTTGACATGAATTGGAGCTGTTGTAAAGGGGTTTATGGGGTGCTATTACATGTGCTTTGTCTAGTTAGCTGGTTTAATCCAGTAACATGACACACTGCAAGGTAGCTAGAGCCTTGAAGTAAAATTGTGCACTTTATTTTAAATCTCAAAAATAACGGAGTGTCCCAAATCTTATTTTTTATTAGAATATAAAAAGTAAAGTTGAAACTATGTAATTCTTTAAATAGAGAAAACTCATAACTCTTGTGTGTTATGCATTCAATAGAAAGGTTTGCAAATAAAATTGTGGTGAGTCTGCTAAGTTCTTTGAAGGGCTTAGTTTTATTCAGGTTCTACTGTTTGTTTTTTCTTTTGTTGTTTTTTCAGCAAGACATTGTCTGCAGTACCCACACAGCGAGCTGCAACTATATTGAAGAGTTTTATCCTCTCTTGCAGAAAAGGTTTTCTGATGTGCTGGAAGACTTGAGTTTATAAAGTCGCAAAATTATGTAATACTATTGCGTCTCCTAAAAAGTCTGGAAGTAGTGGAAATTACAGCCTTCATTAATGCACAGAACATTATGTCAGCAATCAGAAGTCCCTGCATGTGCTACATGCACATGTAGCCCCTGCAGGGCTACAAAGATGATTAGGGGATTAGAACACCTCTCATATGAGGAAAGGCTGAGGGACTTGGGTCTCTTTAGTCTACAGAAAAGAAGATTGAGGGGGGATCTTATTAATGCTTATAAATACTTAAAGGGAGGATGCCAGGGGGATGGGAGCAGTCTTTTTTCAGTGGTGCCCAGTGATAGGACGAGGGGTAATGGGCACAAACTTGAAGTTCCATCTTAACATGAGGAGGAACGTCTTTAGTTTGAGGGTAGTGGCGCACTGGCACAGGCTGCCCAGAGAGGGTGCGGAGGCTCCCACTCTGGAGACATTCAAAACCCGCCTGGATGCCATCCTGTGCAACCTGTTGTAGGTGCCCCTGCTCTGGCTGGGGGGTTGGACTTAGATGATCTCCAGAGGTCCCTTCCAACCCTGACCGTTCTGTGATTCTGCATGCACCACCTCTGGGTTTTCACCCTTGGCCTGGGGATGGACTAGTTTCAAAGGTCAAAGGAGCAATGAAGTCCTTTTTCCCAAAGCGGTGCACCAGCCTCTGTGCCAAGTTTGTCATCAGTTGTGGTTTTTGACAGAGTGGCATTTCTCTGTAATTATAATTGAGTCCACCAACTCCTTTTGCTCATTCCCCAAGAAAAGGCAATAAAGGTAAAACCAAAACTAGAAGTCATGTCTGTCTCACTACACAGCTGCAATTACAAAGCTGTTGCTAATATCTTTCAGTTATTACCATATCAGCTGGATATAAAAGGCTTTCTAATGAAGCACAGGTTGATGCTGTTTAGTTTGCAGACTGATTCTCCATTAGCTAAGGCAATTTACCACTGCACTTCTTAAAGTGCAGATCCATAGTAATTCTCAAAGTAAAGACCTACTCATGTAAGCAGATTTCAGTAAGTGGCAAAGAGAGGTAGAATAAATAACATTTATCCAGGAGCAAAACTAACAATGCATTCATTAAAGGTATCTCTGCAAAGGGTGTAGAATGGCAGCAATACTTTACACTCTAGCAAGGAAATAAATATTTCTATCCCCAGCTATCCCAAAGAAAAAGTTCTGTGAGTAATTGCAGAAGCACAAAAATATACCTGTTTGCAGAAACATATACTGGTGAAAACTATATGAAGGAAAGTAAGAATAGCAGAAGAAACATGTTTTGTATAAACAGCAAATCAAATCTCCCTTCCCTTCCTACAAATCCCGAGAAGGTGATTTCTCATTCGTACCTCCTTCTAGTGACCAGATTAGTCTTTGTCACTGTTGGGATCTGGTCCTACTTGCTGATGAGATCTGTGAGACTCGAGAAAATCAGATCATGTTTCCTGGTCTTTGCTTACATGAGGTTCTAGGATTCAAAGTGATAGTAAATTGAAAATGGCCATAAACCAAATAGATTTAAATAAACTTGAATTTGGTGAGAAAATACAACTGAATTCAGATGTGAAGCTTTCATTTTAGATTCGTCTCATTAGATAATATTCACGACTTAATCATGTTTAATTGCTGGAGGTTTTTTCTCTTATATGGAAGATCTGCCTAAATGAATGCAACGTAACTGTAACCAAAACATGTAATTTTCCAAAGACTATTGGACAGAGTAAAACCAAAAGCTTAATCTATTTTTTAAAAAATTTGATCCGTGTGTTAGGCCTATGGTCCTTTGTCCTTAACACTGGGGGTGTGGTTATAATTTTCATGTCTGTCACAGAGATTTCATTTTGATTGCTGGTATCACTAGACCCTTTGTTTCTTAAAACTAGACAGCCTTATGTATAAATAATAACCCTTTTGGGAAGCTATATGATGGCCCTCAGTACCCTGGCTGCGTGGACCAAGTCAGCAGGCAGAGAGGTGGGAAGGTGAGACCACGCACCTCCTGGGTGAGCACACCGTGGCCTCAGGGCTGACTTAATGATGGGCTGCTTTTGAAGATGAAGATGTTTGCAGGGAAAAAATAGGGGCTGTTCGCTCCACAATTACCCATTTCTCTTTCCTTCCCACTTGGCATAACTGCTGTCACATCCAATAGTAGTCATCCCTGCACTGGGAGTCTATAAGCTGGTTTTGACACATTTTTAATCTTACAGGTCTTACATCTACTTCATCTATACGAGCCTTGTTCATAAGTATGTGTTCAGTCTCTGTCACCTTCATCCATACTGTACTGACCTTATCAAGTCTCCTCATTGCCTACAGGAACAGGGTCTTATTTTCAAAGTGACACGGCCAACTAAATCTGTTCTGAATTATTTGATAAATGAGAGTGTGGGAAGTGAGTTGGAAAGATGAAAACCCAAGAAGGGGCAGTGGCATCTTCTGAAACATTAGATTTAGTTGAAAGAAATGAACTGACTCCTATAAATGCCCTGATTCAATGTAAATATCCTAATTCTGTCTAGGCTGCATTTAGTGTTAAATAATGTAGAGTTATGCCATTAAACAGCGGTGCACAAGCAATCTGGATAGTCCAAACACAGCTATTAATATAGCACACAAGTGAAATTTCACACCGCTATCCTAATCTCAAGTGTTTTCTTCCCTTGTCTCTTCTGCTTAAGAGGATCTGATAACTTCAGTCTTGTTTTTACTGTGAAAACATGCAAAACATATATTTAAGTCAAAATCCCTGGGAGGATATAATTTAGGACTAATATTGTTCTATGATTGCTTCTCACCTAGAGCAGTGTAACCTCCCTCGTGGTTTAATAGTTTGCTATTTGAAATACCATGGTAAAAGATGGAGATCTCAGTATTTGGGATTGCATCTGCTAAGATCACCTTCCATGAGTATGTTTTAACACTTTTGTTTGCTTTGCAGTAGTCTGAATGCTAGCTCCTGCTTTTCAGTGCTTTTTGTCACAATATTCAGTAGCTTCCTGGTCAATATTTAGGTATACCAAGTTATTCAGCTTTAGATTATTTTGTATTTACAGACTTTTTCAACTCCCTGCCCCCTCTTTTCAGTGTTATGTATTCCTACAGGTTCTAGATTTTGCTACCACTTCATAAAGTTTTACCAATAAAAGATTTTTTTGTTCTAACACTTCAAGTTCAAGCTGAATAATTTTACAGAATGTGATTAAGGTTAAGGTATGGCTTCTGACTTCATGGGAGTTTCAGAATTATATCTTAAATACGTGTTTTTTATATTAATTTTTCAGCATGCAGTAATAAAACTAAAATGTTGGTTTGGCCTCTGTGTTTCCGTATCAGAGTTAAGCCTCATTGCTCCCACCTGTAGACAGCTAGAAATGTAAAGAAAGAAGCTAAAAGTGTTTTTAAGAGTACTTATCTGAAATGATGTGCGCCCGCTGATCATCCGAGTTTAGTTCTTGCTCTGACCTAGAAAATTCTCACTCTGACTGGCATAAGGACTAGATCCAGTCTCTCTTGCTCACGTGGATGCAACCCTTGTTTCCTTGTTTTGTGACAGGTAACCTGGGGTCCCAGCTGGTTGAGTATAAAGAAGAAATGTACATAACGTCTGACTGTGGGAACACGTGGCGTCAGGTAGGAAACAGGAGTCATCAAAGGCACCTGGAAATCATTTTAATGTACCCAATATGATGAATTTTATAATGCTTAGCTAATCTTTATATACCCACTGTTTTGAAGCAAGGTGGCTATTATCCCCATTTCACTTGGAAACTGGGTGAAAAGGAAGTGATTTGCAAAGACTCAAATTGGTTGGGCTGTCAGGTTCTGCTGAAACTTGAATATTTTGGTCTTTTTAAAGATTTTAGAAAGTATCTCGCATTAAAAAAAAAACAAAAATAGACTCTATTTAGGTTTTTAATAATTTAAGTAATCTTCCTATGCTAATGATAAGTGGACTTCGGCTAGATCTGGCAGTACAAATATTCCAAGCTGAAATACATGGTTTAGGTAGAAAGGAAAAAATTCTTCTCTTCATAGTCTGAAAACTGGTATTTAAGCTTCGACTTTGTTCTCCATTGAAACTGAGAAAGCAAAAAGAGTTTGAAAAAAAGGAATAAACCTTTGAATGTCTTTTAGTATGATTTCATCGATTCTGGGACTACAAATGTCAAAGCATTAAAAAAAAACACCAAACAGTCTTGTAGTAGCTGTAATGCCATATGAATTCTGGAAGTCTTTTGCTTCCAATGCCTGGTGTCAATTTAAACATTGCAGCTTTATTATGTTTTTTTTTTCCTAAATTGCTCTGTCTCAGCAATGCTTAGTCACAGGGATATTTTCTTTTTGAGTGTAAAGAGCAACAACAATCATGATCATAAGATATAAGGAAGTTCTGGAATCTACTTATAATTTATATCCAGGAAAAAAAAACAACCTCAAACCACCAAAGTTGTGTCAAAAAATCATTTACTTTCAGTTAAAAGAATATTTTAGTGTTCAGTTGTGTTATTATCTGAGAAGTAAGTGTGAAAATGCTCTCACTAGTGTTATTGAGCTCAGTGAGTTCGAGATAAAAAGAGAAAAATGCAATTTCTTATATTGCTATTATAGGGTGCCATTAATACTCCACAGAAGGACTTTTTAAAAGAAATACATTATTTTTGTCACAATAACATCCTTTGAGGTTTAAAAAATACAATTTTATGCCAGATTCCTTCTTGAATGATGATAAATACGTGTTTAAATGCAAAATTCTACTAGGATTTACAGTGGGTACTGTGTTGTCTAATACTTCACAGAGACCTCTCAAATAATTCATTGTCACCATTTGCAAAAGTTCTATGTTTTTTTCTGGGGTGAAAAATAAGAAGGAACGAGTGAAGGGGATCAAATTTATATTTTCACTGCTTTTTATTTGTGAGACACTCAGGCAAATGACACGTGATGAAACTTGACCTTAAGATGACTATTCATGCTGTAAAACCAGCCAAAAACTGATCCTTCATTATGACACTCAAAATGAAGAACACCATTGCTAGCTTTATTTTAATTAAAACTGCTACAAAGCTTTTGAAAGAGCTTACTTAATCTTAATATTTGCCGTCAGAATGAAAATGTAGATTATTGTATGTATTTTATGGCCTCACTCTTCACGATCAAACAGTTCTTCTAGAGGACAGTGGTACATTTCCTTTCTCTTTTGGAGTTCATGCAACAAAAGATAAGGCTTCAGTCAGCTGATATGGGAATTATTTAGACAGTAAGTTACAGGCCTCCTGAGCCAGCAAAAGCACAGCAAAGCTCATGTTTTGGCAGAGCTCTTTCAGTGAGTTTAAGTCACAGACTTGGAAACTTTGCGGTTGTCATTAGCGAGTGCCTGTCACCTTTCTCACGTGCCACATGTGATGTTGCAGAGCTGTCTACAGACTAGAAGAGCAGTGTGTGCTTGAGTAGAGTGACAGAGCAATGTAGGAAAGTAAATATAAAGAGCTTTGGAGAAAAGGCAGTTCAAGAAATTGATTAAAAGCTTTCCTGAAATAATAGCAGTATTGATTCATAGGAATATAGGACTGGGAGGCAGGTCAAAGATTATGTAATCCAACTATGAGCTCTAAGGCAGTATTAAACATACTAAGAACATCTCTAACAGAGGTTTGCCAGGCCTGTATGTTAATCCTTTGCTGTAGGAGATTCTGCAGTCTTCCTATGTGGTATTTCACCATTCTTCATAGATTTTTCCTGAATATCATAGAATCATAGTCTCGTAGAATAATTTGGGTTGGAAGAGACCTTTAAAGGTCATCTAGTCCAACCTCCTTGCAATGAGTAAGGACATCTTCCAACTAGATCAGGTTGCTTAATGCCCTGTCCAGCCTGACCTTGAATGTTTCCAGAGATGGGGCATCTACCACCTCTCTGGGCAACCTGTGCCAGTGTTTCACGAAACGTAAACTTGTGGTGCTTTTTGCTCCTATTCTTGCAATTACACAAATTTGGCAAGGCAAGTTGATTTCTTCTTGTCTTTGAAGAGGAGTGGTTTCCTGTCACCTTTGAATAACTTTTCACATGTTGAAAGATGATTATTGTGTCTACCCAGAGCATAGAGGTTTTTTTCCCTTGGAAAGCAAAATGAAATCCACTGATTTTCTTAATGGATCCGATTTCTAAAGTGCTTTTCCTTTTTGTTAGTCGTTGATCAGACAATCTAATATGACAACTCTCTCCTGAAGCATGGTAAAACTTGATGGAAAATTACAAATTTTATCAGTAGTAAACAGAATGAAATTATTACCCTCAAGTTCTTGACGTTACTGGCAGCTCATTTCAGAAGATTTCTCTTCTTTGCACTAGCATCACATTGTTGACTCGGATTCAATTTGTGATTCATAACTGGGACCAGTCCCTGAGTTTCTGACTTTGTAATAAATTCTCAATTTAACAATGATTCACCAATCATTTTCCTTCAATAATTTCTTAACCAGCTGTATGCAGTTAAAATTATTTCAACTGAGCCCGTATTTCCATAGCTTGCATATGGAAAGGTCAAATGACAGTTCAAGAGGACATACTATGGTCGGATATACAGCCAGTTCATAAGTAGAAATAAAAAAATGCCCAAATGAGTGTTTTGTGAAATTAAGTAAATACTGGTGATAAATGGAAAAGTAAAGCAAGGATTCTGATTATAAACAGCCACAATACCATTAGGGTTGGCTCCAGTTGTTCTCCTGCCTTTTTATTGCATGATGCTTGAGTTGCTTCTTGGTATCTCTTGAAACCGTCTCTCTACTGTGTACCATCTTAAGGCAAACTGAAACTTGTGACTCTGTATTGTACAATATTCCACTGTAAGTAGCAATAGTTTAGGAACCGACTGACAAGTAGCTTAAACATCTGTGCAGCAGCAGTAGTTATCTGGCTAGCAGGAGAAGGGAATCTCACTACGTGGGGAAGGGGATCTCACTACGTGGATCACCTTAAGTGAACCACGAAGACGTAGCCTCAGGTAAACTCATGGGACAGATCCATCTATTTGGAAGATTTCTGTGTCTATCGTAGCAGGAAAACAATATCATAAAATGTGTTAATGAACATGATAGGAGCCAGATAGATAAATAAATCTTGCGTCCTGGGAGAAATGGGCTACCTTTGAACACAATTGCAGACCAGACAGGTTTTGGACATTTTTTCCCCTGTGGGTGCCTGTTTTTTAAAATATTAGGATAGTCAGTCAAATTCTAAGGATGACCTTATGTATACATACAAGTGTGTTTTATTTATTTTCAAAAAAACTGATTTCTGTTCACAGTTATGGTTGCCATTGCTATTTCAACAGCATCTGTTACAATACTGTGCTTGAAGTAGGGCAAACAGAGTAAGAGAACGGTCTGGCTTTCAGAAGAGATGGCTTAAATAAAAGGATAAAAAATCAGCAACAAAAAACTTTTCATATTTGATCTGCTGTCAAAGTAGCCAGCATAGCAACAAAATGTTCAATTAAGCTAGTAAGGTTATGCAGAATGTCTGTTGTATGTCTAGGAACTGAATCTAGATCTCTGGAACTTTAGTCCCGTTTGCTTAAGCAAGAATACTTGTTTTTCTGCAGACATCTTAAGAGGTGGATGGTAATGACTTTAAGCACTATAGGAAAGGCTGCAATCCCAGCCTCACACCCCTGGGAAAGTCCAGCTGGCTTGGACTGCTCTGTTTCCAGATTTGAATTTAGAAACGGATGTCACTTGGTGAGAGAAGGAAGTGACTCTGGGTATTTTTGGTTACTTTTGAAACGTCTGTGCATCAGAGTTAAATCGTGGGGAGTATATTTCCCTAGGATCATTTAAACATGTTTTCACTGACTTCATGGAGCTCTCCTAATTGCTCCCAACAGATAGCTGCTGAAGTTGTTAGGGCAGACACAGGAAAAAAAACAACTATGGAGAGCAGAGGGAGGAGAGAGACGGAGAGAAAGAGGTTGACATTATGACTATAAAGCACGACATACTCAAAAAAACATAGAAGAGGGAAAAAAATACAGAAATAGGCTACAAAATCTAGTTCTGTAGTGGATGGTTACTAGTAAAGATGGTAATAAATTTGTTAACTGAATGTTAGTCAGTGAGGAAACATACATCAGAATTCATGGCTCAGTCTGAACATGCATACGCCTTGTTCCTGGGCTCCAACTTCAGCTCTGACACTGAGACCACCTTTGCCTAAATCCTTTGCAAATGGTTTGTGTTGGGTTTGTTTCTAGAAAGTAGAGATAAATATGTACTTTTGTGCTGAACTCCACAGGCATGAAATTGTTAATTCTTTTCAATGTACTGAAGATGAAGAGTTGCTTTCATAAGGAATTTCATACGTTTTTGTTGTAAAATGTTTGAAATGTGTGCAAGAAGGGCATAATATAAAGATGATATTAATATGCCTGTAATGTGTCTGCTGTGCTTTATAGCGTGCTAAAGCTGGGGTGCTGAAATGGTGCATGAGGAAGTGCCACGGTGCTTTTCTGGGAAAATCTAATTTGGATGAAATGATGCTGCTTCCTTTATCTTCAGTATGATGGTGAAGCTTGCGGAGACTTCATGTCCTGGCATATACTGTTTCATTTTGATTTGAGCAAAAGTTCAAACAAAGTTTAGAGGAGGATCAAAACTCTGCTTGCTTATTTGACTCCAGCTGATCTCATCCTTTTGAAGTGCATCTAAAATTAATGTCTGTCCTCTGCTGAATTCTCTTCTAAAACATGCAGCTGTGTGGAACAAGTAGATAGGACTGTAAATGCCTCATATCAGGGTTTTGCCTGTAAATTGGCAACATTGAAAAACTGATCAGACACTTGAAGCCCTAGGATTCCCATAAAATATGCTCTTACTAGATGAGAAGACGACTGAATTCTGAACCCAAATTAAATGCTTACTATTTTTGAAGTAATTGTGAATGTGCTCTAAGACACTTTTCTCCCCCTCTGGTTCAGTCTTGCTGATAAATCCTCTAAATGTAGCATTTAGTATTGTCAAAACCCAAGCAATTGGTATTGTCACTATTCTTTCATTCACAAGGCAAAGCAAAGCTAACCTTTATATTTTTCACCTTTGCTTTGCCAAAGCATGTAGGAGGTTGCATGCTCGTCTATTAACTGCTAAGTGTGTGTAGTAACTCTCACTTTATCACCTGCTCTTATTTTAAATGAAGTTTCACAGGCTTATAACATGAGTAAACCCTGTCTTAAAATAGATTTCAGATGTAAAAAAGGGAAGAAATCTACCTATTCATTTATCTTAGTACTGCTTATGAACTCTAGAAAATGAATGAAAAGAATTTGGGAAATTTTTCATTCTTTAAACCATTAAATCAATATTACTTGTATTTTAGTTCAGAACTCAGAGCGGCCTCTGTGTGAGCTCACATAAAGTTTGAATGCAAATAAATCATTGACACTGGAAATGCAGAAAACAGGCTTGCACCAATTATTTCAAGTTCTGTAGAGTCTGGAGAACATGTGAGAAATTCATGGACAGCAATACTTTTCCTATTTTTCTTAGAATTAGACTACAAAGCAAGATACACAGAATATGACAAATACTGAAGTAAGGTGATAGGTCACTTGGTGATATATAATAGGAAGGAATGCAGAATGCATACTGTGAGAAATATGAGCTTGGGCTAAAATCACTTTAGACAATTTAATCTTACTGTGATTTGAACCTGAACGTTTTCTGATTCACCTGCTTAACTTTCTTTTCTTTTACAGCTGGGAGAAATATAAGAGTTAAACTGACTTTTATGTCCTTTTCAATATGAAGTGTGGACATTATAAAACATACAATTTTTTTAATCCTGGTTTGCTCATACATTTTATTTCTGCTGTTTTGTACATTTGTTTAGCTGGCTTTTTTTTGTCCAACTTGTAGGTCTTTGAAGAAGAGCATCACATCTTGTACCTGGACCATGGTGGAGTTATTGTGGCCATCAAAGACACCTCTATCCCTCTGAAAATACTCAAGTAATCCTACAGTCAATTAGAGTAGAGCTATTGTGTATTCAAGACCTCAGGCAAAGTTCAGAGTTTAAGACGAGCATTTCAATGTGATCGTGTATGAAATGCAGGTGGAGTCAGCTTAATTTAACATTCATTAAGTCAACAAAATACAGGTGGATGTTTTCTTAAAGATTACTTCATGGTGCTGCAGTAATATGTGGCATAATGCATTAATCGTTATAAAATTTTCTTGCATCAGTGTAGACATTTTTGCTTAAAAGGGTATCCTGCAAGTCTACAGTACAAGCCATGTTCAGCATGATTGTTATCTATTAGTGGTTTGCATCAGCAGTATACAGTAATGATGCTCAACCTTTGATGCATATGTGGCTTAGGTATCCTGTCAGGATAGTTCATTCCTACTGTAATAAAGCTCTGTCCCCTCCAAGGGCCAAAGTGAATGAAGGTGTTGGAGAATAGCCCTGAGTTGCTCTGTCGAGAGCAATACAATACAGAATTTGGGAGGCAATGCGGAAAGGACTTACATGTGCTTATATGCTGTGTAATACAGTATGCAAGAAACCCAGTTCACATAAGATATTCATGCACAAACTAACTGTAGTGTGTATAGATACTGTCATATAGTGATAATGCAGCAAATGGCCTTCTCAGCTGGTTTGGCAGGAAAGACTTGCTGCAAAGAATTTTCTTATAAAATACCGAGTTTTAAACTGCATGATAGTGAAGCAAACTATGGTAATCTTATGAAATGGCATACAAAGTTATCATCTTCAGCATAAAAACTGTAAGAGATCTTTATCACTTGTGATTAGGTTCGTTTTTGCTGTATACACTGATAGGAACTAGGCTATGTACTTGGTTAGCTGGAATGAAAGCCGTCATTAACCTACTATCCAAGAGACCTGGAGGAAACATACAGAAGAAAGGAGACTTTGAATCATAAATTTTGGGTGCACAGAGTATTGGAAATATGTTTTGCTGATTCTACAGCATCTTTTGCAAATTTTTAAGTGGATGGTAGCAGCTGTGAAGGGCCATCATGTTGGTACCTGCAGTTACCGCACCTCCCACGTTTTAGCAATTGAGCTGTTTTGCCTCTTGTGTTTCACTGACCTCCGCTTAGCAGGTCTCTAGCTCAGAGACTACTAGAAAGAATTAAGTGTAAATTCACTTGCTCTTGAACCTACAAGGTAGCAAGATATTTTGTTGACAGACCTTGGTATTTATCTGCCTGAGAATTTCCATTGTTGTGGCAAAATTATTATGCACCTCCTAATAAAGGTGTGAGCCCCTGGATACGTTGCTGAGAAAAAGTTCCCATTAATATCGTATACTGTCCAGGCATGTTGTATTTTGGTGATCATAAATCTTGGGCTTTAGTAGAGAGGGGATTTTTTTTTTTTTTGAATGAATAAATGAATGACTTCTGTTCTGTATAATAATAGTTTTAAATGAAAACAATTTTTGCTTTTTTACAGGTTCAGCATAGATGAAGGCCAGACCTGGAGTACGCATAATTTTACCAGCACTTCAGTCTTTGTAGATGGATTACTTAGTGAACCTGGAGATGAGACACTGGTCATGACGTAAGTTTCTGGTGTCATGTTTTTTTTCGGGGCTCTCTCTGCTTGTACACTTGAGCATATTTTAATTGTGGATGTTTGAGATAGTGCTTCAGTCAGTGGCTTTTACTTTTTGTAGTCACACAGACTCTTACACTGATGTCCAAACAGCCCTAATATGCAGCCTCTCCTTGAAATTATCTGAGTGCAGTATTTCAGATTGTAAAGATGAAGTGTTATGTTCATATTAAATTTTGCAAAGTTACCACCAGGGAGAGGGGAACAATAGGACTGCAAATACAAATTTGAGAAACGTGGGTAAAAAAATAACTGTTTCCTGCATTTTTTCTGTTTTCTACAGATTCTTAGGCAGATTTCAAAAATGCTAAATATCCAGCCCTTCTTTTGTGAAAATTGTCTTCACAGTGTAAATAACGATGTTGTTGTCCTAGTAACTAGCATTGCAGTACTTTGTGTAACCAAACATTGTGCTAACAAATACATGTTTTAATTCTGTGCAGTGACTGAGGCAGATGCTATGAATAGAGTTAAAAATAACCACATTCTGCAGCTTAGACCCCTGTTTATCATTTTCAAAAGGGCCAGGGACATCTGGATCTGAGCTGCAGGTTTTACTGTGTCTCTAGGATAAAAGCTAATATTTTAGAAGCATCTGAGACTAAAAAACACCTATCCAATTAGAGAGAAAGGCCCATGCTGACTGCAGCAGGGAAGGGGAATGCACTCGGAGATGTGCAGGTTGTTATGTGTGCTCCTATCAGAACAGCTTGTCTGATCCTTTATACTGGAGCTCAGTGTGTTCATGACAAGCTTTTTTTCCTAGAAATTACAAATAGAGCTGCCTTTGACGGGTACCAGTAGCATTTTTTCCAGAAAAAAAAAATAAATAAAATAGCCCAGTGTGGAGTTGTGTAAAGGATCCTCAGCAAAGCAAAAATCCTACCCAATGGACTTAAAAGCATTGTGCCAAGTTCGTAATGCTGTACTGTGCAGGGGTGAATGTGGTCTGTTAGTTCGTTCTTTCTTTCTCCACTGTCCCGTTTATCCTCTGTTATACATATATGACCTGAGAAGAACAGTATTAGTCCACCATGTCCCTCTTCCCTCAAGCATAAGATTTTTTATGCTATAATATATGCCACATGGAGATACTTATGGCCCTGAATGAAGGATTTCCATTGATTTCACTGGAAGCAGAGGGATCAAAAGCTTATCCTAAACCATACTTACTGGCAGATAAAACGATGTGTGATGACTATATACTCTGTGTTTTCTTCTTATTATTATTAAGTATCATTAAAAACGGTGATTTTGTGAAGATGTACTTAAATATCTGGCTGAATAGTCTGATGAGCTCATGTGAAAAATACCTTTTTGAAATCACCCATATGAAATATATATATATATAGCTAAATTTGATACATGAGCCCACATTGACAAAAAAGCATCATATGACTTTTATGTTTCTAAGGGCATAACAAGAGTCTGACTCCAGCATCTCAATGCCGGGCTTGTAGGATCTTACTTTGCAGCTAGTTCCACTGAACATGGAGGACATCAACCACATACAGCATGTGTTCCCTTGTTGCCATTCTATCAGCTTCCTTTTCTCTCCTACTGCTTTTGATTGGGTTTTACCTTCAAGGTGACGTCTGCCCAGTGGCACTCTGTCTGACTTTACATCAAGATGTTTTGTCGTTCTGCCTGGCTTAGGTCATTTTCTCTTAAAACTTCCCACTTGAACTGGGTTGCTGGGCATGACTTAGTCTGCAGTGATTTTCTGCTTTTGAGAAATGTCATCCACTGATACACGCTCCCTGAAAAACAAAATCAACGATACCATCTTTTCCTTTTTATTCGAGAAAGTGGGTTTTTTCTTTTGGGTAGAACATGGTAAGATGAATTTGTGTATGGTAATGGGGAAAAAAAAAAATATCAAGATTGTCTTTCACACTGAAGAATCCAAATCCATTCCCAAGGACCTAGTCTGACGTTTTTTACTCGTACAGGAATTTCATTTTCTCCCTTTGGTAGGGAGTTGGTTTGAATAAGGACTTTGAATAAAGAGTCCAATGTCAAAATCTGCATAAATTAGCAAAGATAACATAATTCTGAAGTGGGAAGGTAATAACTGAAAAAGTTTATAGCAAAATGGTGGGAGAGAGATGGTTTCATTTAAAGTTTCTAGAATAAACTCACAAAAGAATCAATATTTTATTTATACAGAAAGCAGCTGTTACTGTAGGGTAAAATCCTGGTTCTGCTAAAGTCTGCTTAGGGATTTCCTTCAAGTTTTTAAATTTTTATTAAAAAAAAAAAATCCATAAAAAGATTCCCTGGGAAAGACATTAAGGCACTCGGTAACACTGTGTGTGAGAGATTTCTCATTTTCCAGCATGGTGACTGGGGTGTTGGCCTGACATGTAAAGGACTTCCATTTGAATTTCTGTTCTGTCCTAACTTATCCGAAGTGAAATAGTCTGGAAAGCTTTACTGAAGAAACAGGGGAACGTGAACCTGGTTGCCTCAAGTCTTCATTTCAGAAAGTTTTGTGTTTTCTCCAAAACAGAGAAAAAACAAATGTTTACTTGTCAAAAGTTTTCATAAACTGAGTTGTCATCTGCCAGTCGACATTAATCTAAATCATTCATCCAAATCCCCTGCAGTATTCAAAATATGTGCATTCAAGTGCCAAGGAAAATATATTTTATTCCATTGTGCTCTGCAATAGACCTAGTTAAGATTTTTAGGAGTTTTAAGCAGTAAAGTGTTCAAAAATTTTAGAAAACTCATTCTGTGTACAAATCAATTTCTAAATAGACCTAGTTAAGAGTTTTAGGAGAAAAAAGCAATGAAGTATTCATGAAGTTTAGGAAACTCATGCTATGTAAAAAATCAATTTCTAAATGAAGAGCTCAAATTCACCTTTTATTGCAAAACAAGGAAGTAAGGTTTGCTAAGACATTTCCTCAACTAATTGACATATATTCATCAAAATAGTGCATGGTCTAGTAGGCTTTATTTTTTTCTAAGTTCTTTAAGAATGAAAGTTACTGCAACCAGTGTTAACAATACATTATATTTGGAAAAAAATTACTTAATAACACTGGATTGAGTAATGGCCTAACTCAGTGGGAAAAGGAAGCATTTTTGTGAGTCTGAAATATTGATGTTCCTCTTCAAAGGAAGTAGTTCATATAATGAAAGTTTGAAACCTGTTAAAATGACTTCTAAATCACAGTTCAGCTTCTGGGACTGTTTCCCAAACCAGGTTATTTACATTGCAATGTAAACCCAGTAGGCGTGATAACCATGGTGCCACAGACCATGGCCCCTTTTAAAAAAGCCAATAAGAGGTTACATAAAAGGACTGTTTTTCTTTATGTCAGGCAGAATCAAAATCTTCCTTATGGGTAATTTAATTTTTTTCCAGAGGGACTTTTTTTTTTTTTCCTAAGGTCTTTAGAGTAACAACTGAAGATGCTGCCGTGAACTTCATGACATCTCTGAACTGCAGAACTCCTGCATGTGCGTCTTACTCTCTTGAAAGCCCATTGTTGCATTCCTATTGGGTTCCTAGGGGATAATAGAAGCAAGAGAATTGTCTTGTTTAAATGTAATCAAAACAAGGTGGATATCATATTAAGAGGTGTTAGATATTAGGGAGAAACATCTGGAATTTTGCAACTGTCGATTCCGCTAGTAACATCAACCTCAGCTTTAACAACATCAGTAACGGTCAATGTTACATGTAGTTTGTGGGACTTATTGTTGCACCGTACATCGCAGCACACTACCTTTCCTGTTGTCTTTGAGTATCTTACTAGGTGGAGGTACTTCTATGTGTTGTGAATTCATCACTATTATCTTTCTCGTACTGCAACCCTTAAAAAAAGTAGATAAAAGGTAAATAAAGCCTCATAATGTAAGAGAATAGCTGATTTCCCAAGGCAAATTCCGGTTTTTATTTGCAGCTAGTTACTCTCTTGTTTGAGAAGCGTTGCTCAGTCAGGTTGTTCTGCACTCTGCATGACAAGGAACATATCTGTCTGTTGATAGATAGAGGAAACATGTAGCAAGACAGGAAGAGAATGGTGACCTTTGATAAAAGAGCATTGAAAAAGCAAACTTGTTACTCGATTTCAATCTCATCTAGAGATGAGATAATCCAGATGTGCAAATGCCTGTTTAGTGGCAAGTCTAATGCTTTTGCTTGCATCTCCATGGACACGGATGTTAGCAGAGCAAGTTGATGCATAGTAGTGTTACTGCCAACACTTCATCTTGGAGCCAAGACCATAGGACTGCCCCTGTTTCTCCCTCTGCTCAAAAAAAGTTCAATGTTTAAAGCTTTGTTTTTTCTTTTCTTTCTATGAAGTTTCCATAACGTATTCAGACACACAGGAACATGATATTTTCAGTGTCTTGCTAAAGCCCATATTTAGTACATTTTGAGGACAGACCTGGAAATATATTTGAATAAGAGGAACTGAAAGTTTAGGAATACATGTCCTGTAAGACTCTTTAATCACCTTATCACTATTTAAAGGAGGAGAGAAGGAGAGTAAAAGAGTGACAAGTGACTTTTTATTCAGATAGTCTTTGTGTCATTTTGAGCCCCTATCACTGATGGAGTGCCTGCGGCTGTGGTTCTCTAACTTCTCTTTCAGGGAGACAGTTCCTTTTTAGTGTCTAGTTCTAAAAATGGTGATGATGAGGTAGACATTGGAAACTTTAACCAACAATAAAATTGTTCAAACATTTTACTTAATTTTGTGTGCAGCCTTGAACTCCATTTTGCTGTAATTTGCTCTCACAGTGAAGGAGTCACAATTTAGGTACCATAGGCTATTTCTCTGGCTCTGCCAGGTGAAGTCTGAGTGAAGAATTTCCTACCTGTGACAAAAGTTATCTGTTCTTTAAATATGTGAGTAGAAAAAAAAAATAGCTAAAGAATTAATTATAAAATTTTATAAGTATCCTAAATTAATTTGATCTTTAAG